TTGGGTGTCCTTTAACCTCCATCTTTGGTGTGCCTAAAGAATTCACACACTTCACCAACAGGGAAAGCCACTCTATTGCTTTCGCATCTCTAGTAGCCCGCTGACGTATTTTACTTCATTGGAAAGATAAGAATCCTCCCTCCTCTAACTCTTGGCTAAAGGATCTAATGTCATTTTTACATTTTTTTAAAAAAAATCAAGGGGGTCATTAGGGGGGTAATCATTAGGGGGTGCTCTGATAAATTTGATAAAACTTGGAATCCCATTCTTTCCTTAATCAATTCCATTCCCTCCCTAGATGATTAAGATAGATGGTTCTAATTAAGATAAACTGATTTTTTTTCCCCCAGTCAGGATTCTGAAAGAGGCCAGTAATTGTCTTTGGTGTGATGATATGGTGGTCAAACTCCAGGCACAACATATACAAATTGTTATAGTTAATTTTTGTTTCTTTTTCCCAAGCATTTTGGATCCCTCCTTTGAATGTTCCTTTTTACTTTTTGTTTTTTGTTGGTTTGGCTACTGTTCACCCTCCTGTTTTTGTTTTGGGTTGTTGGTGTTCTAAAAGGGGGAAAAATGGGTGAAATGTATCCTTACTGATTGAACATGTATTGTGTCTTGATAACCCAATAAAGCCTAATGTCTTTGGAGGAAAAATAGAAGTAAAGAGATGGTAAGTGTAGCTAGGAATTCACTTTTCTTTTATTCCATGTTTGCTTTTTGGAGGAGACATGGCTTGGACCCAACAAGGAATTGTGAATTTTACAACATTTGTCCAAAAAATTAGGAAACATGATTGAAGATGATGAATTAGCCGAACACCTGTCAAACACAGGTTGTACATGTCTAAGACCACAGATTCTGTCAAAACAAGACAGGCCCTGGAGAATTTTTCATGCTCCGTATCTGAACTGAAGGACAAGCTGAAAGCATTCTTTTGGGTATGTCTCCCCAGTTGCCGTAGAGGACTTGCTATAACAAAGTATATAATGTGTTGCTGTAACTTGATGTGAAGTATTGTTGGTGTAATACATTTGTTAGCCCACCCACCCAAAATCACCACTAGCCGTCATTGAGCATATGTATTTGAATTCAAAGTCATTACAGTCCCTGTTGGTATAATGGTCAGGCGGCCGAATACTTTTGTCCATATAGTGTAGTTCAAAAGCAACAAAGTAATATTTTTCTATTCTTTCTGAATGCTAAATGACAGCATAAGTTATCAAAAATAACTATTATGGTACACAAATAGTGTACGGTCTGGGCACGGTCACTTTCAGCATAAATATCAATTTTGTTGAAACTCTGTGCACTCAGTGTGTGGACTTACCAAGGATTTTGTGTTACGTGGTTCCCTCAGCAATGACAGCTCGTAAATTTCATCTTCTGTGTAATAAAGGTCTAAAGAAAGCTGAAAACACATAGATTTTGGATATTATTAGTTGAAAATTCCTTGAATAAGCTTTCTTAATGTATACTGAATATTAGTCATAAATCACACTCATGAGTGGTAGTTGAAAGTATTCCAGTGCTTATCTTTGTGTTGAAGAGATTTGGTGTCCCTTCCTCATTAATCAAAATCAACAGAGCACTATACATTAGAACAATTTTCAAACTGTTTCTCAGCAAAATTTTGGAAGAAACAAGCCTTTGACAAGTCTGATTTCTGAGCAATAAAACTGAATTTTTGGAAATGACCAACTAACTATTCTTGGCCTTCGGAAGCTAATTGCAGTCTTCCATAGTATCAGTAACAATTCTGGCTGATAGGTTGGAAAACTTAAACCAATTTTAATCTGAGCAATCAGGGACCAATTTCACAAAGATATTTTAAACTGTTCTAAGTGTTAGACCAATTTTGCTCTAAGTTAATCAGATCAGTAATAAGTTTTTTACAAAAATAAAAAGTAATCTAAAATGGAGGTCCAGAAGACATACTCTGAATTGAGCTGAACGGCTTAACACAGTTAATTTACCCAGAATTCATGGCAAATTAGTTTGTGCAACAAAAATAATTCAGAGTTGGTCTGACTAGTCCAACCTAAGCCATAGTCAGTCAAGTCAATATGTCCCTAAGTTAATAAATTCTCATCACAGAGGGTGAACATTCTATATTAATAAGTGGAAATCACAAATCGCTTTGTTCAACTCAGCTCAAAGATTCATAGTCACTGACTATGAATGACACCGATACTATGTAGTTTGTTCACTTCTTCTCTAAGCTACGTGGTTGCATTACTGTTCAAATGCACTTCAGTATGCACATCAGCAAGTAAATACATGACCATTTGAGGCTTTTAACTAGGTAACATACAGCCGAGCTGACAATCACAAGTGCAGTCACCAGTGCAGAGCTCCATTGTAGAATAAGAATATAAGCATATTGACCAAAATGTATCGTATGTTTGTTTGTATGTAACTATTCTTTTGAGAGTGACACAAATGTTCCTCAAATTGTAGTTGTTGGTTCAAGAGAGAACAATGAAATACAGTATATCACAGCATACAGTGAAAAAAAAACACCTTTACTGCTCAGGCCTTTTTTGTCTTCCCCCCAAATACAAAGCTGTGTGTGCATTTTTTACAAATATGCTTGACTACTGCAGTGACTACTCCAAACCCTCACCGTTAACAGGTAGATGAGGTCCATGTTGGGCTCCACTTGGGCCACTGCACTCTGCAATGAAACTAACTCATTGAAGGTCATGTAGAGCTGATGCATCTTCACCAGGTTGACCTTATTACTGTCATCAAGCCAGTCAGGAAAGACGACATGCACTGCAATCAGGTCCTTAAGGTGCACACCCAGGATGGGGATTTTAAAGCCTTGGCATTCATTGAAGGCCTTTCGGTAGCAAGAGTAGTTGTTGTTGGAAGAGACCAACTCTGTCATCTCGCTCCAGATCTGTGGAATTTAAAGTTGTTCAGATATGGCAATTCATGTGACACGTCTAATTTCATAATTCATGATTTTTTAAACATTACATTAAAGTAAATCAAATCAAATGAAAATATGTATTGCAATTTAATTAAATTACTTATATAATTAAATTCATTAATATAATTATCTGCAGCTTTTTATTAACTGTGAGCAGCTGGTAGTGACTCCTCTGGGCTGCTTTGAACACCTCTCACACTCAGGAGCTAGTTTTAGCAATAAAAAGCTTTGTGTAGGCTATTACTCTTAGGCCAAAAACTTAAGAGTCTTAAAGTTAGGACTGACAACAGCCACTGAAAACACCATGTTCTGACAGCCACCTTTGAAGCCGACATGTTAGGAATCTTTGATAATAGAGAGTTTGGATGACTATTGCTTTAACAGATCAGAATCAGAAATACTTTATTGATCCCCAGGGGGAAATTTGTTTGTTACAGTTGTTCTACTCACACGACGTTAAAGAAATAGTACTTATAGCTAACACAATACATAGAATAGAAATGAATGTATAAGTATACACATAGTAAAAGTAAAAATGGAAAAAAAAAGTCAAAGTTGTGATGCATTTATTGTAAAACAGTTCCAAACCCTGGTTAAGATTAAAACTGTTTCATTTTGTCCTTTGTCCTTTGTGCTTGGAAGGTGAGGGTGAAGCGACAGAGTTGTGATTTGCAATTACATTGCTACATGCCACTGAATCCTACACACTAAACCTTTAAAATATATCTACACCTATATCTACTACATATCTATTCCTCTCTAATAAAAACACACTACTAAAAAGGTCCAGTGTGTCGGATTTAGTGGTATCTAGTGGTGTTTCAGACTGCAACATTTATGCCAATAGAGCCTCCTAAATGTTACACACTGGACCTTTAACTATTTAATCATTTAGGAGGCACAAAAATGTTGCAACTGCCACTTTTATTTTACATTTTCTTCACTGGAAGGGCACCCTAGAGGGCACTCATGTTGTATCTACTATATTAAATAAGTGCTTTGTGGCAGCCTCTTGAGGAAATGAATGTATGTTTATATGGCGCTTTTCCACTGACCCCAGTAAAATGGAGTTTACCTGGAGCCAGCAGACAGCTGCAATGAAATGCATTTTGACTCATGTCTCAATCCAGAAATTGTGGCTGACTGTCTTTACCATTCAGAAGTTATTTAAGTTATTAGATTAATTAATCAATCAATTGTAATCAATTGTATTAACAACAGAAAACTTATTTCTACTTGGAAGGAAAAGTTTGTAACAAAACAGGCAATGCTTGGTTTATTTTACTACACTGTAGTAATGCACACTCCAGTGTGTGTGGATATACATAGAAGTGCATTCAAAAGCTGGTATTGACTTACCTTCACAACTTCTGGAGCCAGAAAAGAGTGAGTCTCCTTTAGTCGAGAAATGGAGCTATGACTTAGTCCCCCCACCACGGCCATCAGAGTGTTAAAGTTCTGCAGCTGCAGAAGTTTCTGATGACAGAAAGTGACATGTTTAAGATGTTACTTTTGATTCTTCACTGTTTATCTAAACAAACCTATCCTGTGTTTTGTGCTGTTCTACTCTATTGCAAACAGTCCCAGTTAGATTAGTGAGATTTAAATATGATGGCCCATTTAGATGACATTATCATCATTATCATGAGGTCATTCATATTTTATTTTCCGTGCCCCCAGTTGCTAATCGTGGAAGCATTCCAACTCTACAGAATTTATGTTTTATAAGAAATGAATATACATCTTCAAAATAAAAATAAAAATAATAAAAGGTGGAGACACACAGGTGGGATAGGCCAGATATGATTTTACCTGCTGAATATTTGCTTGATTTTGAAGGATCTGTTCATGATGCATTTTCTTTGGGAGTGTCTAGGTTGCTGTATCAAACTGTTCTAAATGTAGTGAGAATGCTTTCAATGATGACTGTAAAAAACAGACTCTGTGTTTGACACTAAGACAGAACAGTATCTGCTGGGCTTTCTCAGTGAGTTAATATTTGAGTGTCAAGAAATTTAAATGAGTTTATGATAGTTCTAGGTTGTTCTAAGATATATGTATAGGCGATTTGGGTGGGGCGCTGTGCCATCATTGAGGAGTTCCTGTGGTTTGTGTGCATCGAGTAGGAAGTGACTACTCAGGCTACTTGCTTGTTGATTTTGAATATGCTGAATAAGCTTATTATGGTTGTATCATCAGCATACATAAGGATGATACTCCACTGTGCTGGGATGGGAAACTGTTGTATGTATGTTGTTTGTGTATAAGGAGAACAGCCAGGCTGAAGACACAGCCCTGAGAGGGCTAACATCATGCTACAATACTGATAGAGTTTATATAGCGAACAGCAAAAGACTGGGAATAACAGATAGATTTGTGTTTTAATTTCAGTCTTAAAAAACAACTGAATTTAACATTATTAATAGTTATGTGTGTTTTTGCTTAAAATACTTTCTCTCATTAATAGTGTTGCATATTGCTAAGCTATTGCTGTATGCACAATTCAGCAAGTCTGGGTTGAAAACTGGTCATATTCTTTAAAACCAAATTTAGGTTTTATGCTTTTGTGCAAAACAAAAAAAATGCATGCCCTTACTGACAGGTAATGTCATAAGCAACAGCTAAATTAAACATTCATAATATTAAATTAGTGTGTGATCTTTTCATTATACCATCAAATATTAATTTTTTTTCTCCATGTTCGTTCATTATGGCTTCCTCATCTCATAAGAAGATACCCCATAATTACGGGATAACAGGTGTGGCACTTTATTCTGCGACCCACCAGATTATGTGACCTGATAAAGAATTTCAGCTATATTGCCACTGCAAACATTTTGATCTTACCTTATACATGCTTTACTTTGATAGTTGTGACCAAATGGTAGTTTTAGACGAAGCTGATGCTTGACTTTATATAAATGGAACACTGGTGTATGAATGAAATACTGGCATCTTTAACAATTTACTGTTGCATTTGTGTAGGTAAACAGAGTCATGTGCAACATGCATGCAAGGGTTCTGTTTTTGGCTGGGTGTTCAGGGTAGGATATGGAAGCCTGGACAATGGGAAACGTATGTGGTAGTCTGATCCAATCAGCTTCCTCCCTGAGTTCTGTTGTCAGCAGGAACATTCCATATACAGTATATTTTTTTAAACAGTGTTAGGCAAAGAAAATTATAGCCAAGTTTTGTTTGGAACAAATAAACCCCTTGACATTGAAGATGGAAATGCTGTCTTACCTGAGCCACATGGATATATTTGGTAATAACCTCTGCACGGGTCTGAGGTGTTAGCTTGCTGAGCACCATGAGCTGGACCCACTGTGAGACTCCATTGAACAGAGCAATGGAGCGCTCCAGGGTCGGGTTGTCCACCAGGCAGCTATGCATCACATAGCTCTGGTAATCAGTGAACTGGGGATAAAATGGAATTGCAGATCAGATAGCCAGCTGTCAGTTTTCAGTCTAATCTTCAGGGGCCTATAGGGTCCTCAGGTGGTAAATGGACCTGTACTTGTATAGCGCCTTTCTAGTCTTCCGACCACTCAAAGTGCCACATTCAC